AGAAATATTTTTTAAATATTTACCCCCCCAACTAATTTTATGAAAACGCTAGAAATTTGATCACATCGGGTTTAGTGATTACAATAATTATGTTTGTTTTTTTTTTTTTGTTTGTTTTTAATTGGATCCGCAGTACCTGAGAATCAGCTCTGAATTGTAACATACAAAACTCAATAAAACAAAGAGATTATTTAATTTCAAATGCTTTTATTTGCTTTTATGAATATGGACAATATTTTCTGAAAGCAAAAAAATTTTTTCAATGAAAAATGAATTTTTAATACAACTATTTGTTATTTCTTTAATTATAATTAAGTTGTTAAAATATTATAAAATTAGTTAAAAACCGCATCGGCTTTCCTAAGTGTCCTTATGAGATAGATCTTTTTTAGCACATTGTAAATTGTATCTTTTTGACTAATCAGAAGATCCGCAGTAATTAAGAAATGTAATTTTGTGCTTATAACCGGGCTGTAATTATAAAGTACGGAAGACCAACCAGAATATAATTAAGTTGCGTTATTTGAGTTAAGCATTGTTCTCCGCTGTTAAGGCCTTTACTTTTGCGAAACGTGTGGCGAAGTTAATTTGATTTTCAATTTCAACTGAGAAGGGTACCTACAAGTATCAGTATCATCTTATGAAATTTATATGATCTTATTTTTATATTAATCTCAGTTATGACATTTTTCCATAATTGAAATATCAAAATTAATAATAAAATGAATGCAAATACAAATAACAGTAAAATGTAATAAATGTACATAAAATTATAGTATTTTATGTACAGTTCTGATAAAATTTCATAAGATTAATTAGATACCTTTCTTAGGAAATATGAAATTTAATGTCACTCTTAACAGTCTTATTTTAATTTCTTTAGAATATATTTTTCATAAAGCATCATAAACGTAAAGGTGAAAGCTAAGTACAAAAAAAAAAAAATTAGGTAAATAATTTGTTCACTTAAATGTAAATTATTTCACTTTTCTCCTTCTGTAGAACAAATTAGCCTCATGGAATTCATGAATATGTCATTCATCACCTGTCAAGAGACGCGAAAGTTTATGACCTGCTTTGTTTTATTTTCAAATTACATCTTTTTGGCACAAAAGCTAAGCTAAGTTAAGTTTGGTTCAAAATATTTTAAATAAACATTATAATTTCTGATTTTCTTAAAATAAGTTTTGAAAAAATGATAATTGATATTTAAAAGAATTTCAATTTACAATTTAGTGACAACCAATATTTTAAAAAGAATTTTGAAATTATGTGTATAAATGTGCCAATTTTTTAAATATGGATGTTCATACACAATATTATCAGAAAATAAGTGCAATAACTATAGTGAATTGAAAGTTAAAAATGGGGGTGCTTTCTTTATATTTGAGTAATTTTGAGTAATAGATATATCCACTGTAGAACAAAATTAGATAAACTTCCATCTGTCAGTCAACCTGTTAACACCTTAAATAAACACTAAGTAATGTTTGTATCAAATCAGATTAATTAAACTTTAAATCTGATAATATTCCTTAAAGTTTAAAAAAAGTATATTTTATTTTTGAAAGATTTTTTAATAAAATGAATTACATTATGATGATGAATGGCTAAAAAAAAAAAACTATAACCAGGTATTACATATCATGATTTTTCACTGGTGGAGGTTTTTTTTTTTTTCTTAACAGAAGTAGGTTTGGTTTATTTTGTTTTATGGCACATCAACCTCAATGGGTCATTTAATGCCGACATTTTTTTTTTTTTTTTCCTGGTAATACTTTTGTTTTGTCAAAAATCTATTTCTGTTAATATTTTTTCAAAAAATATATAGCTGGTAATATTATTTTTTAAAAATGTATGGCTGGTAATACTATTTTTCCAAAATGTACAGCTGGTAATATTTTTCAAAAATGTATAGCTGGCAACACTATTCTTTCAAAAAAACAAAAAAGACATAGCTGGTAATATTTTTTCAAAAATGTACAGCTGGCAACATTATTTTTTCAAAAACGTATTATCAGAGGCTTTGCTGTTGGACATAGTTTATCGTCATACCCAGGACGCGGATGTAGTTTATCGTTATACCAAGGGCACTTAACAGAAGTAGAAAAAATTTAAAGAGTGAGTGACATCTTCTCTTTACTTAAATAATGATGGTCAATTGACATGCCATCTCTGAGGTGCTAGAGTTATTGTTTGTATGTATTCAGGCATATTAGAGAGCTGTTCATAACTGAGTTATGTTTGGTGTATGTGACTGTTGGGATCTTAGTTCTGCAACATGTCTCTATGTAAATTAAATTGAGATGGTGATTTAGAGAAAATAGAAGTTAGCAGTGTCCCTGGAACCAGTTTTGTGTCTCCTGTACATGGTGAGGTTGCATTCTCTTGTTGCAACAAAATCTGAAGATAGACTACAGTTTCAGTTGATGTCCTTGTACATTCATAATAGAACAGATCTTAAACAATTACAGAGCCCCCCACCCAAAAGACTTGGAAACTTAACGATCTTGATTAAGTGAAATGGTGCTAGGCTTTCACAATTCAATAACAATGTTCTGTCTTCGGTGAGGTGGTGGAATAAGGGTATCCTTTAGAATGCAGTGATATTTATTAATTTTTTTTTTTTTTTTTTTTTTTTTTAAACATATAATTTGGTACCAAGTTTTCCATTGCCATTAATTGGTTCAGTTCCCATTATCATATATTGCTGTCTGTCTGGAATTTACATATTTCTGGTATACTTTTGGGGATAGTGCCTCTTAACATTCTGCAGTCAAATGGTGTTAAAGCCCCTCCATATTCCACCCCTGTCTTGCTGCAAGTGGCAAAAGGTGGAAACATCCTATATATTACTGTCTTCAGTTTTATGGTACTTTCCTTTTTTTTTTTTTTTTTTTTTTTTTTTTTTTTTTTTTGTTGCAGGAGGAGCAAACTTAATTTAAAATGATTATTGATTGTATTGTGGTAGCTGTTATATCAGTGTGTATATTCAAGAAAAATTATTGAAATTTGAGTACTTTTTTTTTTTTTTTTTATTTTTTTATTTGAAGATGGGGAAAAATAATTTGTTTTTATTTTCTATTTTTAAGAAACCTAATAAATGTGAGTGAAATGCAAGATTTGTGCAGCTAATAATGACTGTCAAACATCTCAAAAATGGTTTGCAAAGTTTTGTACTGGATATTCTTTAATGAATGTTTCTCTATGGTTTGTTAGATCAGTTGAAATTAATAGCAATCAAATCCAAAATATTACTTGAAAATAATGTAAAATAAATCCTATAAACATTTATGTAAGTAATATTTTACTAAAATGTATAAAATATAGATTCCAGCCATAAATAGTGACAAAACTTGTGTAATCTGTACTTTCTAAAATAGATCGTCTTTTGCAGTAGTATATAAAACATATTTTTAACAAAATACAATCCTGAAAATCCATCTGATTTTACGGTTAAGCTTAAGATGTCTGAATCTTCTCTAGTGAGATTTGCAGCAGGCTTTTGAAAAAATTCTGTTATATTGTTTGCAAAATATTTTATGCTGAAGCAAATACCTTCTACATATTGCAAAATAAAATGCTTTTCTTTTTGTGTATTAGGGGTAAACATAAATATTTTAAATACAGCATGTAACTGTTCATTACATGGGTGATATTTTTATATAGTTAATTTTCATTCCCTTACTCTGTAAAATTTAATTTTCATTGACAACTTTCCAGGTACTTAATCTTTCAATTTCTAATTTGTATGCTAAATCTTAATTTGATACTGACCACTTGGTATTTACTGGTAGTTTGGTAATTAAATGATATTTACTTTGTAACTAGTACTGGTAAATGAAGTTCCATCAGTACAAGAAATAAAAACCTAATTTTATCGTTAGGTGTGGGTGGAGGGATAATACTGCAGTAGTGCACTATAGTGTGTACTCATGGTAGACCAAAATGGATGATGAAATGCTTGTTGATAAGCAGTTTAGTTAACACATTTTCATTGAAACATTTTATGAATGATTAAATTAAATGTACATATGAAAATTGTAAAGAACTTTCTCTTTTTTCATCTGATGCTGAGGAAATTTATATGGAGTGACATGACAATGTATTTTTAAATAATAAAATTTAGAAAGAAATAACTTACAAATTTTTTGGTAAATTTTTTTGCAAGTTATTTATTTATTTTTTTTTTTTTTTACTTTTTTTTTTCTATCATAACACTATCATTTTAATCTACACGTTTGGGTAAACATGAGGAAACTAAATTTGGAAATCTTAAATTTGTTTTTAAAACGTTTATTTTGCTTGTATGGATGCATATTGAAAAAATTCTTAACCTGCTGTAAAGCTATGTAGTTTGGTAGCAAACAATTATACTAGTTTCTGTAACTCTAAATGATGCAATTTTGTCATGAAAAACTGATCACTTGGTTTGCAACATTCATCATTTGATCAGTGTGTTTTGTGAAGTAGTTGTGGATGGGAGGTTAGAAGGAAGAGTAAATTGTTCAGTATGGAATACTGCAAGTTTAAATAGTGAATCATGCATGGGAATATACATCTATGGGCTCCCTGCTCCATGTGGAAGCCATACATTAAAATGACTGGTCAAGCTGATGCTAGTAATTTTCAACACTTGATCTGTGTGTTTTGGGTATGTCATATAAGGTTGATTAGTCTCAACTAATGCCTGGATTTGATTGCTATAAACTTTGTGGAAATGAACAAATCTTTTTGTTTCAGCTGTATGACAAAAAGCTTTTTGGTTAATGTTTTTTCTGGTTTAGTTTTTGAGTAATTATATTTTATTGAAGATTAATAGTTTTTAAAATATACTTAATATTTCTCACTTGTACTTTTTTAAAGAAAAGTATAAAAAGAAGCTTTAATTATAAAATTAAGCTATTAGCTGAAAGAAATTTGAAGATAAATCTGTTACTCACCATTGATAAACAATGTTGTAATACTTTATTCTACTTTCTTTTTTTTTTTTTATTAAGGTTTAAAATATGATTGGAATCAAACTGATGAACATGTGACTATCACTTTACAATTAGAAGATGAAAGTGACATTGTCAAGTTTAGTGACCCAGAATTTTCTCGGACTGGTGTATGGATGAAGTTCCCAGGTGGGTTCATTGTGATTTTTCTGTAACTGTTTTGAAAAGTTTGTTTAATTTGTCATTTTTCATCGCAGATTCAGTTTCAGGATTTTTTTTTAAATATCCTGTCTTTTTAACGCATTTTCTTTTTTACGTTTTATTTTAATCTTTTTTAAATCAAAATGAAAAAAAATTGGTTACATCAACTTGTTTGTTTGTGTGTGTGTGTGTATATATATATATATATATATATATATATATATATATATATATATATATATATATATATATAATTTTTCCCTCTAAATTAAACAGCATTAATTATATTTACCAGCTTGAATGATCAGGAAGTTTTGTAGAAAATGTGTGCTGCTCCAACAGAAATTGAACCTGTAACCCTTAATGGGAACAATCATTTGATCTGATGTGCTGCTGTTAACCATGAACAGAAATTTGAACTTTGATAACCAGACACTTCTTTGTGGTCCAATGATGCTTAAACATTGCAATTCTCTTATGGGAGAAAGAGGCATCCTGCTCTTCCAAAATCTTCTCCACATAACAACTTATTGTTTCCAAAATTTGATTTTAGTTTTGGAAATGGGAAGAAGTCAGATGGAGATAAGTCTGGTGAGTAAGGAGAATGGTGTAGCAATTCAAAGCCACAGTTGGCTGCATTGGCTACTGCAACCTGAGCTGTGAACAGGCATGTTCTCCTGGAGTAAGAGCACTCATGTTCTCAGCTTCCCTCTGCCTTTTAACTTGATTGCTTCCTTAAGTTGTTTTAATTCTGATGCATAGTACTGTCCATTAATAGCTTTTCCTTTTTCCAGGTAGTCTATCATGATTATGCCTTCAAAATTCCCAAAAATGGAAGCCAAAAGATGCTGTCTGGTTGAACTTCTTTGTGGGTGGAGAACCAGTGTTTCCACTGTTTGCTTTGAATCTTTGATTCAGGTTCAAAGTAATGGACTTAGGTTTCATCTGCGGTGGAAATTCGTCGGGTCAGCCTGGAAGCAAGTCTTGGAAATGTCAACCCTTTTTCAGTTTTTGCTCTGGTGTCGGCATTCTTAGGATCCATCTTGCAGACAGTTTGCTCATCCCCAAATCTCAGTTAAAACAGCATGGATGGAACCAGAACTACGGACTTAGCTATCTACTGGACAGTAAGATATCTGTCATCCAAAAATGGCATCAGCTTTTTCATCAATGGTTGAAGTTTTTGGACAATCTGACCAAGCGTCATCTTCTGTGCTGTCCCCGCTTGAATTCTGCAGCACACTTCTACAAAGTTGCATAGGAAGGGGAATCCTCAGCAAGTGTCTGTACCTCATGGATTTCATTGAGTGTCATACTTTTCTTTTGCAGATACTTTGACTGCTCAAGAGACTTTGTCCAATTTTTAGATTTGTCGCACACCTTTGTATGGGCCTCACCTGCAGAGAAACTAAGTCAGAAATCTGAATTAGTTTTTCTAGTTATATAAGAAGTGGTAGCGTGATGTCACAACAAAAATGTTCAGCTATAGCTCTTCTTTCCGGGTGAGGCTTAGAACTTTTTTGGAGAATATTCTGTAGCAATTACATTTATAGATTTTATAAATAAGTGAATCTACATTTTGTGGCTCATTGGATTGGAACTGATAAGTTAATAAGCCTAGATAACTAATTTTATAATTATTATTTTTATTTTATTTTATTTTTATTTTTTTTTAATTGCCATGCCAGAAAGTACCCATGGTCTTTTTACTTAAAGTGGGACTTACAATTTTAAAAGAAAAATGAGGACGTGAGATTTGAACGTAAGTTGATATTTCACAAGATCAGCTGTTGACAAGAAAGGTAGATGTTTGGATGTCATCTGAGAGAAGAGAAACTTAGATAAAAAAGAAAATTGAATTATCTGGATGCCTGTAAACATGCTGCTGGAGAAATAAAATGACAATATGAAATCTTGATGATACTGGATAAACAAAGATTTATTTTGTGGAGAAAAATGGATTACTGCTTATTGATCATTAATTTTTCACATCCACAGAATGGGCAGACAATTTTTGAGAAAATTGAAAAAACGGGTAGATGGGAAATTGAATAGTGGAAAAATTAAAATTTGACCAGGTAATGTCAACCTGTAGTGGCAGGAAGTTTTCTAACCAATGGGCAAATGAGAAATTGAGAGGTTTGGATAATTATAAATTATATTGGAGATGTCTGGTTTTAGTGAGAAAAGAAAGTACGCCTCTTTTTTTATATATATATATATATATATATATATATATATATATATATATATATATATATATATATAAAAAATAGCCTGCGAGAGCCACAACCTAAATAAAATGTATCAGTTGTGAAGAAATTGACTTGGATTCCACTGATAGTATAATTTTCTCACACAAGACCAAAAACATGGTAATTAGAAAACCAACAGATAAAGCATGAATATAAAGTTCAACAAAATTTTAATCATGCATAAAACAATTTGAAAATAAGAATATCTGCATGTAAAAATGTTTAGGGTGTGCAATATGAGTATGAAAAAAAAAAAAATAAAGACTAAACATTTTCAGTTGATTGAAATCAAATACATTTTTTCTTTTCAATTTTCTCTTTTTTTTAAATGTTTTCAAAATTTTTTTTTCTCTTTTTTAAAAAAATTTTTTTTCTCTTTTTTAAAAAAATATTTTTCTCTTTTTTAAAAAAATATTTTTCTCTTTTTTAAAAAAATATTTTTCTCTTTTTAAAAAAAATATTCTTCGCTTTTCTTTTCTTCACTTTTCTTTTCTCTTTTTTCTTTTTTCTCTTTTTTTCTTTTCTCTCTTTTTTTCTTTTCTCTCTTTTTTTCTTCTTCTCTCTTTTTTTCTTCTTCTTTTTTTCTTCTTCTCTCTTTTTTTCTTCTTCTCTCTTTTTTTCTTCTTCCCTCTTTTTTTCTTTTCTCTCTTTTTTTCTTTTCTCTCTTTTTTTCTTTTCTCTCTTTTTTTCTTTCTAGAGTGTTTAAGTCCAGGTCTGGCTAGAAGTAATGATGTACATAGTCAGCGTCCGTTTGAGATGATTTGACATGCCATATATTTAACAAGAAATGCAGATTGATGGCTGGTTTTATGAGACACTGTCATTTCACAACAAATGAATGCAGTGTTTTGGTGGTGGAGGGGAGTTTAATTGACAGGCTGGACATGTTAGTGATGGTCATACATGCTTTGTGAGTCAAGTCACAGATATATATCTTCAACATCATCACTTGATAAGACACCGAGGGTGTTGAAACAAAATGGCTATTTTTGTAGTGATTTTATAACATACTTATGTCATTATTTATAAAAAAAATTATATATATTATATATGTATCTCTAATTTTTTTTTTTTTTTTCCTCCCTAATATCAATACTGGAACAATGGGAAAATCAGATTTTGAAGAAGTGGGATTATTTTCAGTTTGTGTTATGTTGCACACCAAGTGTAAAATCAATATGCAAATGAAATTTGGGAATATTTTACAGAAGAATGCCTTTAGTTGTCATAGCACTAAACTCCTCACAAAATAATGACTTAACTGCAAGGATTCTTTATTTGATTTTCCAATGATTTCAATTTTAAGATTAAGTTTATTTTTCTTTTAATAAGGCTGACATAAAACATACTGTGATTTGTAATTAAATTATTAGACATTGGCAGGTGACCTAAAAAATGACCTACAGTTTGTTAACTGGAGCAAGGGATGCCTTGTTAATTCTAATGCCTCCAAAATGAAATTCTTTTAATCATTTGAGAGAAGCACCTTTACCTTCCATCAGCATGGCTGATGCTAACCTCTAGGAGAATGACTACTTGCATCTTTTCTGGCTAGTATTTTCTGCTGACATTAAGTGGAAAGATTACATTGCTAGGTCTGCTGCTAGAAAAGTTGCTTCACGGTTTCATGATAGATTCTGGTGAGAAAAATTTTCTATCTTGCATATTTCTAAATCTACCATACATTGAATATTGTTATCATATTTGATCTGGTATTTCTGATGTGTATTTAGAGATTATTGATAAAATACAAAGAACTTGCAATGGAGGTCATTGACTTTTTTTTATGTGCTTCTGTCTTTTGCTACTAAATTCTGCCAATATCTCTTTTTCTTTTAAAGCTCTCCTTCTTCCCAAGACTGCAGTACATGAGAAGCAATAGCTGACAGTATAGAAAAGGCATTTTCTCTTTATCTATCTGCAAACATCTTTGTCTTCAGTGACTTTAATGATACTTGGCTGAAACATTCTGAAGGCTAGGTTAGGTTTACTTTTGATGCTTTAGTTTCTTTTTTCAGTTAACTTAGCTAGGGTATGTATGATCATTGCCCCCCCTCCCATTTGTCCCTATTTTTCTTTTTAGTTTAATTCCCCATCCCCTCCCTCGTTAGGTGGTCAGAGATGTCAGTGTGCTGGTGGATGTTGGGCGCCTTTTGTTTCGCGTGAGTTTTTTCGTATTTGTTGTTGTGTCTGAATGAGTGCAGGTCAGTGTGAGTGCTTGGGTTGAATGAATGTTTTATACTATTATAGTCCCGCATTGATTTCGGTCAGTGAACTGATGTTTCTGCCACATTTAGTGATTGTGGGGGTCTTATTACTAATATTATTTTCTTTAATTTTTTGCTTTCATATTGTAAATACTCATTGGAGCTAGTTTTTTAGAATTGTTGTTTTATTCCCCTCCCCTCATAGACAATGAATTGTAAATATGGGGACTAGTTAGTATTTTTATAGCGACAAAGAGGTATTATGGTGGATGTAGTAAGAAAGGTATGTATGAATGTGTTTTGGTGTAAAGAATATTGTTTGTATGATTGGGTCAGTGTTTGTGGCTAGCTAAGTTATAGTTAAGACAGAAGAAGACCATCCTTTCCCCAATCCCCCCTTTGGCCAGAATAAATATTGCTCTTCACTATAGTACCTAGACTGTCTGAATTTAAGTGCAATACTAGACTAGGAGTGAGATCTCCTCAATTTAAAGTTGAGCTAGCTAGATGTAGCTGTAACTTCTGTGTTGATAGTTTCTTTTCTTGCACCTCTTGTCTGTAGAACTTCCATTACAAAAATGTCAAACATGCTTAATGCTAGTCAGTCCAGATTTTGGAAAATTCTTCACTATTAAAACTGCAAGCATTTTCCGACACAATCACATGAGGGCTCCCATGTGTGGCAAATGTGCACTGCAACATCTTTTCTGTTACTGCTGCTGATGGTGATAAAATTACATGTGCATCTATATATTTACTATATACTATCCACTATCACAAGAATCCACTTACCATTGATCGGGCTTGCATAATCTATATGCATTCAAAACCATGCCATTCCAATGCATTCTCGTCTGGGACATAGTCTTATCCTGGCACATAACACAACTTCATACACACAGTTCAATATCTAAATCCAAATTAGGCCATCAGATATGATAACAAGCAAGGGACTTTATCAGTGAAATGCCTGGCTGACCTTTATTTAATTTTTTAAACATGGTATTTTGGCAATTTGTGGTGATATCAACTTGTGATGCCCATGAAACACAACTCTTTCCTTTTTTTTTTTGTGTACAGTCAAAAATCCAGAGATTCATTGTATGGCCATCCCTGCATGATCTACTTTTGCACTTGAGATGACACTGGATCCTTGGATGTATGCAAAGAAACAGTTTTTGCTGTGACGGAAGTTGAATCTGAAGCTTCATAGATAGTACTACTTCCTTTGGTCAAGGTCATGGTGTAAAATAACCCTCCACAGGTAGTTGACTTAGTTCTTTTGCACTGGGAATTCTTTTTCTGTGTGATATTGCATGGTCCTCTTTTAAAAGGCCAAGCAAGAGCTTATGATCAGTAATGATTGTAATCTCCTGTTTTTATGGAATTTGCTCATTCCAAAAATTACTGTTAGTCCTTCATGTTCTATCTGTGCATAATTCTGTTCTGCTTTTGATAATGTTCTCGAGGCAAAGTAAATCGTTTTTTCCCTTCCGTCATCCATAAGATGTGACAAAACTGCTCTGATACCAACTGGGAATGCATCCATGATCATAAGCTTAAATTTAGGGTTGCAATGAACTAAAACATCATCTAACATTAAACCTTTGATTGTTCAAATGCAAATTTTTCTGCTATTCCCCATTTCCAGGGGCTCCTTTTTGTAATAACGCATGCAGGAGAGCTAGAACAGTACCTATATTTAAATACTGGTGGTAATAATTAATAAAAGCTAAATAACTATGCATCCAATATATTTTTTTGGTGTCTGAACTTTGAATAGCATTAACCTTATTCTGTGATCTAGATAAATGATTATTGAATTCCCAAACTCAACATTTCTCACTTCTAAGGTGGAGGCCTGGATCTTCAATGGTAAACACAGATTTTGGTTATGTTCATCCATATTTTTGCCTGAGATTAAAAGTTTGTTGATATAAGTAACAGTATACCTTGAATTATCTGGTCTATAGTGTGTTGAAAATTCCTGGTGAAGAAGTAATTTCAAAACACTATCTGGTGTACCTGAAGAGACCCTTATGTGTGTCTATAGTAGTTAGTTCTTGTGACTCTTCTTCCAAAGGAATCTGTAAATATGCATCACTAAAATCCAATCTTGTAAAACTGTCTGCCCAAGATTTTGGAATACAAGTTGTCTATCTGTAAGCAAATAGACAAGTACCCTGTCACAAATCCTTTTCTTACAGGTAGTTGTTAGATTAATTATATGCCTGGAATAAGTATTTAATTTTTGTATTAAACCCTTTTTAGAAAACACTGCATTAGGTAGTTTCTTGAATTGCTTCTCTGTTCATCTGTTAAGTGAAGCATCAATTTTCATAACTGATTACATGTAACTCAATTTTACACATAAGGTTCAGGTGAGTTCGAATTAACACTATATAATATGTCCAGTGTGTTCTTGTATGTATGGTTGTTTGCTGGTTGTTTGTTTTTGTACTGTCTTGAAAAATGATGCTTATTTTGACAATTGAAACAAATTTTGCCCCATGCTTTTTGTTTCATTCTCTCTATCATCCAAAACAAAATTTTTTCATTTTTTGAAATTTTGTAGATTTCTGACTTGCCATAGACATTTTGTGTATGTCATTCATACTTCTATTATTAATGTTTGCTACGTCCCTGGCCTGAGCCATTTTAAAAGCATTTCCAAGTTTCATGTCCTCGTATACATCTTTTTTGAATTCTGATTATCTAATCCACACACAAATTTGGCCCATAATGCTCTAAAAGTATTGCAAATTCACATGTTGACGATAAATGTTTAAGCTGAAGAAAGAAATTTGAAACAGTCACCCTCTACTTGTTTGGCATTATAAAACTGGTGATTTTCCGCAATGATGAAGTGTTTGGGCTTGAAGTGTTCTAGCAATGAATGCTTAATTTCATCAAAAGTTCTATCACTCAGCTTCTGTGGTGAGCATAAATCCTCCAAGATCTTTTCACCTATGGTGCTGAGTAAGATAACATTTTATCTCAGTTCCAAACGGTCCAGGTATGACAAAATATTTCCAGATTCAATGCAGAATTCATCTAAATGTTAGTGATGACACATTTGCATGAAAAAATATCTCCTTGTCAAAATGTCACAACTTGGTAAGGGGTTTGCTGTAATAACAATAATGGCACAGTTTAGTCTGGCAGACTTGTTTGCAGACATGATACTTTTGCTTTTTATTCATACATACACTATATGGCCGACACTACTTTCCTTAGTTCCTGCTTACAACAATTATTCATCCTGATATCTCTGTTACAGTCACTTTCCCACTACAGCAATATAACTTCCCTGTACCCTTTCTATAAATACTTTCATGGTAATTGTTCTAATGAACAATTATGACTATGGTATGTAGACGCTATGAATTTAAGCATGGTACTAGACTGGCAGTAATCATTTTACAGTTAAAATGGCTAGATGTATATGTAAGTTCTGTGCTAACAGTTTTTTCTCTAGCACTTCTCACTTGTGGAACATTCTTTCAACTTCTTGCTTACCAATCAACTTCAATCTTCAAAAATTTAAATGCAATTTTAATTGTTATCTTTTTGTCTTAATTTTTGTTCTTTTATTGTCCTCTCTCTCCTTGATAGTATTTTCTCCTTCTGCTTGCATCTTCCAACTTTTATTACCCTTTACTATTTAATTTTTTTTGTTTCTTGATGCTATTATTTTTTTGGGAATGGGTCAACCGTGTGTGTGTGTGTGGAGGAGGTGCAAGGTTAATGGTTTGAAATGATAGGCAATAGACATTCTACTTTTCCATTGCTGAAGTATATTGAAGGGCATCTCAGTGCTTGACTGATGGCTTTTTGCTCCTCCTTTTTTATAAGGAGATCAGCCTCCTACCAGCAACTGACTGCTAGCTTTCCAGTTTGAAATGGAATTGAAACCTTTCCTGTTTCATGAAGTCAAATCTCCATTTTATTTTTTAGACAAGCATCCAGGTTTTAAAATGGAGAAAATATGTAACAAAGTACATGCCCAAGGCATAGCTAGATACTTTATATGGTAACCCAGCTCTGATGCTGGCCTCGGTATTGTACTTGCATTTGGTGTCTAGGTTTTATTTACTTTGAGACCTATTTGTTATACTTGCAGTGATTTCAATGTAATTTTGGAAACTTAAAAATCCAGGACAAAACTGAAAATCCATTCACAGTCAGCCATCTGATTCAGTTACAAAAGGATCTTATTTTCAGTTGGTAATTAATATTGTTTACTTCCCGGATGGAAGTCTATATATATACAGAATACATATGCCACATTACAATCTGAATGAACAATCTTTCATATCTTTCTCATATTTCTAATCTTTTGCTCAAGTCACTCAATACCTCAAGTCACTAACCACTTTCCATGTACCAGTATGTCTCAACCAGGATCACTGCCATTACATTTACAGTTTAGTTAAAAACCTAAAATATACTTATTCAATTATGATCAATCATTCTTGTCTCTTTGGTAAACAGTACCAAAGTAAAGATTATTACTTTTTGATATACTGTAGGATTTTGTCATTTTCTTATGCGTTTTTTTTTTTTTTTTGTTTAATGAGATCTTTTTATCTGTTTTATATGCCTTTATTTTATTTATTTTAGATGGAAAAGTATGGAGCTTAACTTTCAACAGTGAAATAGATTCTAAAGACTGCAAAACAGAGCTAGCAAATTCTAATTCGATGGTTCTCACTGTTAAAAAAAAGGTACACAGCCATTGGGCATCACTTGAGGTAAATATGATCTATTAATATTTTTGAAATCTTTGCAGTTTTCTAAGTTTAACATTGAAAGAAGGTGAGTATTACTGGTGAATTATTTTAGAAAATGTCCTTTGAAAACTTGTTAGTCACTCTTTGAAAAATCTTCAGTGTTCTATTTCAAACTTCATATTGAATTTTTAAAATTTGTCCAATGTTGTGAAACATTGAAGCTTATCTTGTTCAAGTTACTAAGTTTTTAATCAGGTGATCAATTTCAAATCTATTTACGTGTTGAAAATGAATGTTCTTTGTAGTGGCTATGAAGAGACCAAGAGTTCGATGGATGTGATTTGTTGCAAGTGAGTCTGCAATGTTTGGGCTTATATGTACACCAATATGTGTGTGAAACACACTAATGAAACGTGTATAACTGATTGTATGTTTTTTTTTTTTTTTTTTTTTTTTTTTTTTTTTGCTTATGGTGAGTCAGTGACTGGCTCACAAATTCTGAGTTCTGTGTGGGGAATGTACTAAGTAACCCAAGCCTTGACCTATTTCCAGGTCATTTGGAGATTGACCACACAGATGTTGTAGACAGCACATCATGTGATTTGTCATATCCAATCAGGTTCCAGAAACCAATTATTTAATTTTGGAGTTTTTTTTTTTTTTTTTTTTTTTTTTTTAAATTACTGATTTTAGTAGGATTTATTTGTAGGCGTCTCTTGTTTTGTGCTTCACTTGTTGGTGCTAAAATATAGGAGTTTATATCCTAAACAAGAAACACATAGATGTTTTCAATCTCTGATCACTTTACAGACAATGGTTTTAATCAGGGCTCAAGATTGTCATCCTGGGAACAATAGAACATTAGTTTGGGACTACTAGTTAGGTTTTTATTTTGTTTATTTTTTATGATGATTTTCTGTGTTACTGGAACAATATGTAATTCTAAATAAAATTGTGTTAGATTTAAAAAAGATTAAAAAATTAGCTGCTTTTAAGCAGCTAATTTTTTAAGAGAAAATTATTACTTCTCATCAGTAGTGGCAGGCATGCTTGTCTAACAAAAAATAAAGTGAACTTAAACTCTTTTTGTCAATTTTTAGTTAAAAAAAACTATTAAGACATTTGTTTTCTGCTTATTGTAAACTATAAAAATACAAGGAAATATTTTTTAAAAAATAAACGAACACAGAACATTTAATTTCAGTGTGCAGCAGTTAATTGTAAATGAAAATCTTTTGATATAAACTTTTTTGAAGGTGAATAGTTGAATGTGCTATCCTTTATATAGAAAATGAATGCATAGAATGCAACTCTTAAAGTATAATAAAAGTTACTTTGAGCATGAAAATTAATAAGAACATTTCCAGGTAAAACTATTTTAAAGTTATTTAACTGAAATGTTTAAATAAAAGTAGTTGTGATTATTATTTTTTATTTTTTTATTTCATAAACATTTTAATTTATTTATTTTTTCTATAAACATACATGCTCCTCACCCCAACTTTGCATCGACCAGCCAATGATTACCCCATGTTGCATTTCAATCCTCACTTTCATTGTTGTCCATTCTGGGAAAGAGCATGTTGCATGCTCACAAGATAACACAATGAAAGAAAAGCCATCAAAGAATGAGAATGCGAACCTGTTTTCCATATTGCATATATATATATTTTATTCAGGGTTTTGCCTGCTTGTTCAGGTTATTAGGTAGGTGATAATAGGGACAACTTCTACTAAGTAAGCACTTCCTCGCCCATCTACTCATCTTGGTGTATTGGCTGGTAAATACAAAATGGAGGCTTCAGAACTAGGGGAAGGATACGCCTGTCTCCCTCCATGAGTGAACAAGCACTCTCCCTGTTCCTAAGCATGACTGTTGATATAGACCAGCTCTTGGATATGACCCATTTCCTGTTTTGTTGCTACTTGATTTCCAAAAATCCCTTGTACACCCCTTTACTTCTCATTGCCCTTTGGTTTAAATAGAAGCCACTTAGAAGACCAAACTTTAAAAGAACTCCTCCACAGGTCTGTCAAACCAACACTTGAGACTGAGATAAAACTATCTTGTCTCTTATGTGGATGTCCATAGTATCACAATGTTATTATAAATGCTAACAAAATTAAAAATAATAGTGGTTTTGGGACAGAATGGTTCTGAGACAATGCTGGGAAAAGTTAGTTTGAAGCTCTTGTTTTAATAACTCTTTCAGATTCTAGTTATTCTATGTTTCATGAAGTCTTTGAGAGGATTCTCTTATGAAAAAAGTTATTTACCTTTTTTAAATTTTTGCTAATTTATTACTGTTCTTTGTTGTTATTGTTATAATAATAATGATGACTTAGTTTTCCATTTACTTTTGAAAATGCTAATCTGATGTTAAGATTGTCCTATTACTTTTGAAGTTTTCATAATTGTACCGAGTATCTGTTTATATATTTTATTATTGTTTATTTTTAAACAGCTTGTACATAATGCTATTTGATTAAAATTGCTCTTAAAATGATGTAATGTAACACATGAAAAATTAGTTTTAATATGGCTTCTACTTTTTGTGCTAAAGATGTTTTCAATTGTCTCCTTTTTTGTATTGCATTTCTAACCATGTGTATTATAATAATTGGTAATTTGATATATCTACAACTGCAAATGTCTTCTTTTTTTTTTTTCATTATACTATATATCAACTTTTTTCTATCAATAGGCAACAATCAATGAAGAGTGTACCAAGTCTCCTGCTTATATGGATAATACTATGATGGAAAATAGACCCCAAGAAATGGTACAGGAGTTGAATGAATCAAATGAAAAGATTAATGATGGCTCCTGGAAAGAGAATGGTAATAATTTAGGACTAGAATTAATGTTCTAAGTGATCTTTGCTTACATGATACCCCCCCCCAAAAAAAACCCCATAATTTTTGGTATACAGTATCTCATGTATATGTAGACATGTAACTATTTGTAATATCCCAAAATGTCTATATTTTAAAATTTCTGACTCCCCTCCAAAAAAAATTTGAAGGAACATATTAGATATGGACTTATTGCCTTTTTTTTTTTTTCTCAGCATAATTAATATTTCAGTTTATCATGAAGCTAATGATTATGCTATTTGCCTTTTTAAGAAGTCAATATTAATGTGGTGGGAATTATTTATATCTTTCTTTGATTATACTTAATTAAGTTCATGCCACATTGAAGAGGGTGGATACACACATGAAACAAGAGGTATCTTTTCTAATAGTTGGCAGTATTGTTTCTCACATAATCATTTGTCATCCATTTCATATAAGTCACTTTTAATTCATTGCAAAAAACTGAAAGTAGCAAAAAGATTTCTATTAAAAATAAATGAAAAAATCATCAAGAATATCTAACTCTACTGTATAAATTCTCAATCTTAAGATGATTCAAAAATAAATTCTGATGTTTAGGCAAAATTTGGGAAGTGGTTTGGGCTGGGAACTTTTCAGCTCTATTCTAATAAACTAATATTAAAAATAGCTTAAACACTAAGAGCATAAAAATTCCCCCCAAAATATCAATGGCTACATCTAACAAAATACATTAAAAAAATAAATAAATAAATAATAATAAAAAATTTTTCAAAAAAAAAAAATTTGTTAGCTGTACACAAACTTTCTTACTTAAACAACTTAAAAAGAGACAATTTTAAACATTTGTTCACCTGATTATCTTTGCCTCCACTTATGTAGAATAAAAAATACCCTCATAATTATGCACAAAATTCTTGAAAGCACATTTGAAATCAGTAGAATTAAGCTCCAGTTAATTTTTTTTTTTTTTTAAATCCAAACAAGGGAATAAAGCCTCTAAAATTGAAGGGTAAATCTGGCTAGTTCAATAATGTCAAATTGGCAGATGATCTACAATCTGTTTATTAACTGGGGCAAAAAATGGCTTATTAATTTTAATACCTCCAAAATTAAAGTGCTCTCTTTTAATCATCTTAGAATTTTTTTTTCCCCTTCCAGCAGCATGGCTAATGTTAACCTCCAAGGGAACAACTCATTGCACCCTTTTTTACTTGTACAATCTCAAGAAGGCAATTTCTTTTAAAAAATATTTGTTAGCATAAATATTTCTCAATAATTGGTAAATTTTACCATTTATTTACCATTTATTTGTTTGTAAGATACTGATAATAAAAAAGTACTATTTTAACTAATTTTGTTTCCATTTAACTATTTTAAGAAATGTATATAATCATATTTCCCTTTAAGTCATATGCTTCCACTTATATTCAAAAAAGAAAAAAAAAATGTATCCCTTTGAGGTGAAATAAATCCGTGTCTGTTTTTTTTTTTTTTTTTTTTTGTTCCAATTTTTGGTTTACATCACAAGAAAAGTTGCACCTCATATCAGTTGTAGGCTTATTGTAACATTAATCTTGAACTGTAATTAGTGAAAATTAACATTTTTGCAAGGTAACATTTAAGTTTAAAAAAACATTTCTGTCAGAAAACATTTTCTTCATTAACTTTAATTCAGTGTTAATTTACAAAAACAAAATATGTACAGTTGAGTTTTAGCTTATTTTTTAAAAAATTTTTTCTTGGTAATGGAGTCTGAAAACTTAGAAAATGAAAATAGTGCAAAAATAAACTTATTATAAAAATATATAAGAAATATAACATATATATAAGAATAAACATATCAACAATATACAAAAATCACCATATAAATAAAACTTTGTGCGGAACATTAGTTGGATCATGGCTCTAATTGTTTTGGTGAGATTTTCCATTTCCCTTATCTGATATAACTTATTTTCTTTCACTACATTCATCCTACTTAGCATGAAACTGTAGCTGCTTTTAATGTCTGAGCAACATTGTATTTTGTAGTTTTATATTTGCTTGCAGTTATTAAATCACTGGATATTTCACTACACCTGCTATAGGTTTCTTCTGTCTCTTGTCCATAACACTTGTAGCCAAATCACAGTTCAAATGATAATCCATCGTAACAGGCAATGTAGAAACTACAAAATGGAGTCACAAATCCAACCTTCACTTCTCACCAGCAAAAATGCATGTTGTTCACCAAGCTCAGAAAAAAATCCTACACTTGTAAGTAAAAAAACAGCAGCTTTTATTCACTGAGCGATTTTTTTTTTTTTTTTTTTTTTTTTTTTTTTTTCTGATTGGCCATGACATTCAGGGGAGAAAAGAACATTAGCACAGATTCTGATCCTCAAAGTAGTAGATTTTTGCTAACTACTTTTTGGTAATCTTTCTTCAGCAGATCGAACACAAACTCTTTTTCCAGATAGGTGATTATCTCTTTCACTACATTGACTAATATACATTGGACAGTCAAATTCATCAGTAGTACAAACACCTTGATTGTGATAATGTGAAGTCTCTCTGGAAGCTTTTACACAATCAAGGTGTTTGTACTACTGATGAATTTGACTGTCTATAATAATTTATGGAATATATCTTCAGCTCTCATTTTATATTCCATAATGGGACTATGCTAATAATTAACTCAAAATAACTTTGACCACTCCAGTAACATTTGAAGCATACTGACAACCTGTAAATAAGTGATTTTGCAAATGCAGAATGGAACATCAATAAATTGTAAATTCTACATTCTTAATAAAAAAAACGAAAAACTTAGTTTTCTATATAAAAAAAAAAGTACACACATATTGAAAAGAGGTTTAGAGTGTATTTCTTTTCCTTCATTGTATGTATTTTACATTATAGAACACAGGTCTACAATTTAACAAATTAAAAGTTGCTAAACAAAACAGTTTTTATCTTTGAAACTTAAATTTTCAGATTTAGGGCATAATTTTGCCTTCCCCATTCAAAAAATATTAAACTGATTTAAATCTCCTTTTTGAAAATTTATAATACTTCATTTATATTGAAGAGAAATAGTAATTTTCAACACCTATACTGTATAGTGAGGAGAGGGAAGAGGCTTGTGGGATTGTTGTAATCTTTGACTTGTCATTTGGCTGGTAGGAAGTGAGATATTTAATCTTTTCTCTTTATAAAGAGGCAATTCTTTCTCATTAGTGTTTATTCAATGATGTTCAATTGTTTTTCCACATTTACAAAGCTGACAATTTCATAGTCTTGTTTTTCAAATATGTTGCACTCGGAGTTGTGTGCATACACATATGCAAATAGAAAAAGAAAAAAAAAAGATTCTTGACAGTTTGGTGAGCTTAAGATAAAAATGTTCAATGAAATACCAGCAAAATTCAACACTAAAAAAAAAAATTTTTTTAAAATGAACCTTCTGGTACAGCAGTGTATCCTTTTTAATAATCCATTGTTTTCATATCTCCATGCCTATACAACTTGAGGCACACATAAATCAAACAGGTTATACTGCATTTATTTTGTGTAAATTGTTGGGTCTAATGTATTGAAATTTGTAATGCTAACCAAATGAATAAACATTGCCAGCTGAACCCCATTTTAAATTAGACATGTTTTATCCAAATTGTCATGCTTGAATCACTTTTGCCTCAGCTGTTATTTTTCTGCACTTTCTTAAAAAAAAAAAAAAAAAAAAACGGTAAACAGAATTCATATATATATATATATATATATATATATATAAATTGGATGATTTTAGTTTAAATTTTGCACTCACATTTGTCCTTAAAAAAATTTAATTAAAAGTTTTTAAAGTGTCTAGTTTCTCTTATAATAGTCATTCATTTCATTTACATTCATGGCTGGTAATATTTTCTCTTAATTCTAGAGATTTAGGGATTAAATTGTAAATTTATCTATTTTTTTTTTTTTTTTTTTTTTTTAATGAAACCCGGTACATTTTATAAAAAACAAAATGAAAAAAAAAAAAAAATAAATGAACTAGATAAGCTTAACTTTGGCACATGGGTTCATAAGCAATTGAAATTTTCCTCTTCTTTTTTAAATTACCACCCTACCACCCTTGAAATATTTTCTTTTGAGGACACACTTTTTCATAATGTTTAAACTGGTTGGATCTAATAATTATTGATTCTATTAATATTGTCTTTTCTTTAATGATTTTTCACTTGTTTCAAACAAGTGGAAAATCATTGTAAATCATTTTCTGCATCTTGTACACTATTAAAATTAGTTTCTAACACAACACAAGGAAAATTTTCTGATCAACTAGAATGGTTATAATTTAGTTGCTAATTTATCTACAAGGATAAACTTTGTACCATATTATTTTTTATTTAGTTATTTATTTTTTTCAAATTTTAACAATTTAACCCAAGATGATTAACTGTCTATTAGCTTTTACAAAAGGCTTTTTATATTGGGAACATCAGTTTTCTTCAAGAATTTTGGCAGATATGAATTGTTTATCAATTTAATGAATTGACTTTTTCAGTCATTTTTTCCCTTTTTTGTAATTGGCTATTCATTTTACTGGTTTAATATTACAGCTCTGATTAAAGTAGACACTTTGAAAATATTTTTATGTTATGAATGCTTTTATGTCTAAATTTATATCTACTTGGGTCAATAAACCTGTTTCTGATAAAACATTTTTCAAAAGGTTTATCATTGAATTTGTTTATATTACTGTTGTAATAATATTTATGTTCATTCCTTATTTATTTCTTTGTATTTTGAATAATGTTGATTAATTTTTCTTAACATATTTTCATAAAAATTAGAATGTCCAAATTGCTTAATTTTGAGTTTTCTATAGTTTTCATTAAAAAAAAGAAATTCTTGAAAAAGGCTAAATTAAAATAAAAAAAAAAAAAAAATAAAAAAATTGAATAGCATTTCCTCCTTTTCCTCATTGGTTTTGTCATCAAGCTTTTTTGTAATTCTTTCAACCTGGGTCACTTCACTTTTTTGCTGTCCCCTATTGGTGTGATTTGAAAATCCACACAGATCATCTGACAAAGGTTGTTTCTAGGGCTTGCAAAAAATCGATAATTCTCAAAGCCGAGTTTAAGTGTTACTTATTCTCAAAACTAGTTGAAAATCAGTTTTGGCAGACTTAGAGCAGAGCCCCCTAAATTTGGAAAAATGTATTATTTTCAAAGTTTCCAAGGGTGGGGGGTTCATTACATCATTCAAGCTTATGTTAAAACTTTCCCCTAATGGAACCGGTCCTAACATTTTGAAGTTGGGCGTTTAAAATTTATTTGTGCACTGTTTTTAAAACAGTGTGCAAAGGTGTAAAACTTTAAATGTGATCCAGATTGCAAATATTTACACCCTCGTACATTTCATGTTAAAAACAGTGCACGAATAGAATTAAATGAAAGAAAAAAAAAACATGAGTAATTATAAAATTAATTTTTTATTGTTAAAAGAATTGTGGAATTATTTTCATTTGTGCGCCGTTTTCAACAGAGACCAATCGAGTCTGGTGTAGGCTACGACATTTGACATTTCTTCTCTTATTATACCAATGCATAAGTCTTTCATAGAGATTTAAAGCTGAAGGGTTGCTGATGATATTAAGTTTATCCAATAAAAATTTTATAGAATATTCCACTTTGAGTAAATCTGTATCACCAGCACATATAGTCTTCAAAATAATCTCTACTGGATGTAGTATTTCATAAAGCAAATCGAGAGTTTTCCATTGTCCGCTATGGCTTCTGTTGAATGCAGCTTTTTAATTGTAAAAATCTATCATATGGAATATGCTATTCCACCTGGTTCTGCAATCAAGTATAAGTTTGTTTCTCTGTTATCAAAATTCACTCGTACAAAATCTTGCAATTTATTTGTTTGTTTTAGGTGATTTTTCAGAAATTTTTCTTACCTTATTTAAGACTTTGTTAAATTTAGGTTTTGGCTGAGGGAAACGAGCATTCTTGTGAACCAAATCTGTTTAAAAATTATGTCTTGGCTAATTTCAGCTTCATCATCACTATCGTCTGTTATAATAATTTTTTTTTTTTTTTTTTTTTATCAGTCTTATCGGTTGAGGCAATATTTTCAATATTTTTTTGATAAGGAATGTCTATCACTGACAGATGTGTGCAATACATTATTAGTGTTCAGGTCTTATTTCCTTTCCAAACTTCACCATCATAGCAGCACTATCAGTTGTACAGCCAACAATGTGTTTATCCAAATCCAGTCCAAATTCAAGATGTCCTCTCACAAATTTCTCAGTTCTCCTGCTTATAAGGGACCCATTGATCTTAGTTTTCTTTCACATGAACATTTATGTTCATATATTGATTATTTTGAATTGATGTGTATTCATCCAATGTCAATGAGCAGCAAATCCCCAGTGCTACTTCTTTTTTGAAATAATGAATAAATTATTCTTTCTTGGTTATGTAGTAATACATTACCATATTCCTGATTCCATTTGCTGATGTTGACAGTAATTTATCACATTTGCTCTTCTGATCATCTGTATAAAATTGCTTTTGACGATTGAATTGAAAGAAAATCCATCTATGGCAGCTAACTTAGAAATCTCTTCTTCCATTGTTCTTGCCATTTTCACAGGAGGCTGGTTTGCATTGGGAAGGTGAGAATTGATACGTTGCGATCTGTTTCAATGAAGCAGACAGCGCTCAAGTAGCTTGAAGGCTGACTGACTCCAGTTAAGATATTTCTTCAAAGTAAAAAATAGAGACGTTTTGTAAAAACTAAAACATTAAAATTTGTTTTAGTGATCATCATATGAAAACTGGTTTTGAGTCTCTTTTTTTTTTTTTTTTTTTTTTTTTTAAAATGAATGTTTGCAATGCGGAGGTTGCTGTATGCAGAAATTATGGCCTTTCAAATATTTAAAAAAATCTGATAGTTGAACAATAATAACAAAGTTTGTTAGTGACAGGATTACTGAAACTCTTCTGGTTGATTTTTATCTATCCCTGTGTTTTCTGCTCTGTTTTTATCTATCCCTCTGTTTTCTGATATATAGTAACAAGATGAGCAAATTTGATCAATTACCAGGAAGGAATCTTCAAAGAAAGCAACTGTATGTTTACATTATTTCTGATTTCAAGCATGCTTTTAAACTCTTCTGACAATTAGAAACTCTTTATACTGTTTCTGTGAGTTGAATTATTCTCGGCCACTGTTTTAGATATATGGCTCAATTTAGGAATGTAATCAAGCACTGATACAGTATACTACACTTGGGATTTTTATGTGCCATCATAATATTATTATGTAAACATAATATTTATCTGATTTGTTCAATATATCCATTAACACTGAGCTGATTTCTTTTCACTGTGGCAACCTTTCTTCAACTTCACTCTTTTCATTGCAAAATGTAAAAACACCATTCCCCAATTCAATTAAACATTTCCATTTGATTTGTAATTTAATAAAAATAAATATAAATTCTTTACCATTTCTGGATTTTTCTGCTTTTATTTCTACTTGTTTTTCATTAATTTCAGATTCTTTGTATCAGCTACAGCATACCAAACATGACTGGATTGAAAAAGTAAGTTTATTTTATGTTTAAAGAAAATCAATGACTTAAATGTACTTTAGTGTCTGTCTATATTTCTGAGATGAGGTATTATGTACATTATTTACATTATTTGGACTATTGTTCTCATCTTTTTCGCCATATTTATCACAACGTTTCGGTCATTGTACGCTCTGGCTTTCTTCAGGTGGTTGGAATTTTGAACTGAACCCTTTATTCCGCTCACTGTGGTAGACTGTTCTAGTTCCATGTGCCATGTTTGATGGATGTCAGTTATCAGTTATCTCCTGCTAATTTAATTGGCGTTGGTTAGATCCAGTGACAGGACCCTAAGAGTGTGATTTCAATACCTGGTTAAGGCAGTGGAGAACTTTCAGAGGGAAATTAGCAAAAGATAACTGACATCCATCAAACATGGCACGTGGAACTAGAACAGTCTACCCCAGTGAGTGAAATAAAGGGTTCAGTTCGAAATTCCAACCACCTGAAGAAGGCCGGAGCGTACAACAGATGAAACGTTGTGATAAATATGGCGAAAAAGATGAGGACAATAGTCCGAATAATGTAAACAATGTACTTAAATGTACTTTGGTTAATTAAAAAAAAGTACTAAGTAGCAAACATAATATTCAATTAAATGATAATTTACTTAAATCTTTAAAAATACTTAGCAGTGTAGATACTAAAGATTTAATGATATATTATGTTGCATCATTTTTCAGAATGACACATTCACTATTCACATTTATGTAAAGAAAACAAACAAAGATGTTGTGCGAGTCTTCTATGAAGAAAAACTTGTCACTGTCCTTTTTCAGACAAGGTAAGGATTTTTTATTTTTATTTTAGAAATTTAAAATGGAAAAATGTGATTGTTCAAATATTATTAGGATATATAAACTTTAGAAAAAGGAAGTTCTAACATTTTGATAATTTGAAATGGATTTTTCATCCAATTTATTGGTTTAACTTTAAATAAATTTTTATAAAAAAATTTTGCATAATTCATTTTATAATTTTATTAGTAAAAATAAAGATTTGAAGACTTTGAAAATTTTCCTATTTATTACAAATTGTCAAGCTTGTTTTTGTTTGCAGACTTAAATGTTGAATATATAAATAAAATGACTGGATTCATCCAGAATCTCACCAATATTTTATCTGATAATCAAAGCCTTTGTCATCAACAGAATAATAGGTTATTTCTATGTCCAATAACTAGAGACTTTCTGTTAGTGCTGAACAAGAATTGTAATCTCATTATAGAAAATTAAAGAAAAACAAACCACATGATTTTTAAATAAGTAACATTTGGAATATTTTTTCTTTAAAATTAGGCAAATAATTGTTACATTGCTTATTAATTGCAAATTTCATTAATTTTGAAATTTAATGGATGGTTAGCATCTCTATATTTAATTCAGGTTTTACTTTAATATTTCATAAATAAAACACTTCTCATTCGTTATTGTTGAAATTGTGATTGATATTAAAACTCAAGAACAAAAGAAAGCAAAGTGTCTCTTCAAAAAATCTTTAAAAATTTTTTTAAGGTTTTTTGAAAAGACACTTCATTGAAGGATATATTTGAATATTGTTACCCAAATTTACATTAAAATGTCTAAATTTATTGATCATTTGTGATGTAGAATATAATGTAACCTCTTCACCATCATGATTACCATCAAGTTGGCTCCTCGCTCATTAATGTGTTGCTGGTTTATTGTTAGTATTGTGATGATGAGCACATTTCCACTTAATCTAGCTGGCATTTGTTTCCTTCACGCCTTTGACATGTTGTTTTTGATCTCAGGATGAGAAGATCGCTGGGAACTACACAAAAAAATTTCTTTGGAATAAAGAATTAACTCTGGTTAAAAATATAACAATGATTTGGTCTATATATAATTTGCTGTATGCAGTAGTTTTAACCTTTCCCACGTACTGTTATAATCCAATGACACTGGGATCCCCTTTTGGAGTTTACATTTTGTGTTAGTAATAATTTAAATTTCTAAGTTCTGGTCTTCAGGGCCAGCACAAGGTCTTGGTCATGAGTGTCTAGACAAAATCTGTGAATTCCAGTAGCTGTGATGTAGGGACTCTTCACTTGTTATCCAAACCTTCAGCTTATATGAAGTCCTGTGTCTGGCAGGTGTGGGGTTGACCAATGTCCCACCCTTAGCATCAGCCTTTTTTAAAAATCCTATATTTTCAAAATATGTTTCCTGGTGTAATTTTCCTAATTTAGGGGTTGTTCCACTCTTTTTGAGAGTGGTCAGTGAAATCAAGCCACTCCAGATATCCAACTCTCTTCACTTCTCATCTCACCCCATATAGTCAGTGCTAATCTCTCTCTCCCTTCTCCCACCTTTTCAGTATCCAACCCCAGCCCACTCCAAATCTAAACTTTTAGAATGTGTAGGCAAAAAGGGGATTTCCAGTAATCAATCTTCCTTTTTCAGCTTGACTGGCTGTTGTAGGTGATTTCCCAAAGGCAGAGAGTTGACCTTATGTAAGATAATCAGAGGCGATCTTAAGAATTTTTCAGTTATGGTGGGACAGAAAAGGAAAGAAAATATTCCCAACATCTTTGGTTAATAAAAAAAAAAAAAAAAAAAAAAAAAGTAACTTTGTGTTTCTTGGTCAACCAGTTGTCTATGGTCTGTCCACATTAATTTTTTATCAGCTTGTCTACAAAAGAATCCAAAATAATGTCAGTCATAAAAATTTTGGGGAATGTTACAGAAATTGAAATGAATTAACCCATAATCAATTTTAGGTGCTAATCTATATTTTTGTAGGGATATTTTTCTTCTGGGTGGTCAATTCAAACCAGATGTTTTTCCTGACTCTTTGTCCAGAACAGTTTAGATGTTATTTTGGTAACTACCTGTTTTCCTTATCGATATGTTTTTTTTTTTTTTGTTTAATTATTTTTCTGGGCCCAAAATCTTTGATACATTGTCCCTTTCTTATCGGCAGGAAATGGGGAAGGACTGCTAGTCTTCATTTGTTCGATCTTACTGAATTCCATCTAGTTAAATTTGAGTTTGATTCTCCTAGGAACTGTTCATGATTTCATTTTATTATTTTGAGACATTTTTTCCCATGCATTTCATTTTTAATTTTATCAAGTTTTCCATCTACTTTCCTGTGAATTTGAACAATCGTTATCCAGTTAGTGGTCTCTTTCCTCTTCCTTTTTCTTTTTTTCCTTTAATCTTTTGTTTAACTCCTTGAGGTTCCAATGTCACATCATGACTATAGAGCATTCATTATTTAACTGTAGTCTGGATCATTGAGCCAATGTGAGTGATCCTTTCTTGTGCCAGAGCTACATACAGTTTTTGAATTTAGAGTTCCTTTCTCCTTGACCAGTTTCTACCCAAGTCTATAGAACCCAGTCTGTTCTGCTACTTATCCATAACTGGGAAGAAGATTCATACCTTTCCCAAGAGTATTAGCACATATGGGAATGTAATGGATTTGACTTCAAAACTCTGCTCTGATTCCTTAATCCGAGCTGCTATCCATTACTCCACCTAAATAATGATTGAATATAGAGCATTAATGGTATTTAATATAACTGATTGTTGTAAAATTTTTCTTTGTAGTGATCAAAAGTATTTGGATCTCCATCCAGGCTCAACAGAGCAGACTATGTTTAGTTGGAAAATAAATGTCAAGTAAGTATTTGTAATATTGGCTTTAAAAATGACATTAGATGATTTTTTTATATATATATATATATATATATATATATATATATATATATATATATATATACACACAATTTAAAGAGAAAATAATTTTAAAATTTTTCCCATGCATGCTTATATTTAAATTGATATTTTATTAATCACAATATCACATTACAGTTGTATAAATGGGGTGTATACAGATAGGAAGCCGGTTCACTGAGTTGACTGCGACCAGGTTGCTTCCTGAACTGAACGTAAACCGAAACCAACCACAAACTCTCTGGCTGTGATCACCTAGTGGTTCGTTGTGTCTCCTGTGAGGAGTGGGTATTAACTCCCTTTGGGGAGCATGGTAATTTGTTTCTGGCATGATACTTAAGGCCAGTCAAAGCTAGGTGGAAGATCTCTTCAGTGATGAATGACATTTTCAGAAAATCTAAAAATAACTTATTGACGGAATATTGCACAAACATGTGTCAGCTACATATTTTCTGAGGTGTTTCTTTTCTGATGATTTCAATTCTCATTCTGGCTCCTATTGATAATGTAGTAATCACCATTCTACCCCTACAGTGAGTCTGCAACAGTGACATTCCTTTTGTGCCTCTGTCCATTCTGTCTACGGGATGCATGTCTGCTCCGGTCTTTGTGCAACAGAGATTTTCCTAACATGTTTTGAGATTTTCCAGTGATTTTTTGAAGCCAAATGCTTCACTGGTTTATATAAACAATTCCCCTGGGCACCCCTTTTCCCATTTTTAACATTGATTTATGCAATAATTTTCACCTTCATTTATATATCATTAAACAAAATTTCTCCAATCTTTGTCTCAAAACATGTAAAAGAGACATTTTGTCTCAAAATGTCTGAAAAAGTCTTTTTTTTTTTTTTTTTACAAAAAAGAACATTTCCCTTGGATAAGGTTTACAAAAGGCTGAAAATATATAAAAATGCATTTCTCTTAGAAAAAAAGGCTTAAAAGAGATAAATGCATGCTGAAATTCGAACAAGATTTTTGGGTTTTTAAAAAAATAAAAAGCATATAAAAATGAATTCATTTCTATTGACAAATATTGAAAAAAGTACAGCCTGTAAAAGGGCTAAAGGTAATTTATGTTCAAAAAAGACATGCTAAAAACATTTTGAGAAAGGGCTAAGAAAAAGTATTTATACTAAAAAAGACAATTATGCTAAGAAATATCTTAAAAATGGATTTAGGGTGAAAAATTTCTAAAAATGTAATTGTAATGCCATGCATTTATTAAAACTGCATTTATGTTAATTGTTATGTTATTTTGCAGCATCAATTTTTATTATTTTATTTTTTAAATTGATTCTGCAAAATGCTCAGAAATTGTGTCAGAAAAATTCTAAAATAAATGACATTTCAACCAGAATATGTCTTTGAAAAAAGTAAAAAAAAAAAAATTTTGCTAAAAATGTCAAAAAATAAGTGTTAACTATTGCGTATTTATTTTTTATGTTCTTTTTTTATTTTCGTATTTTTTTCATATTTCTTTTTGACTTCGGTCAACATTTGTATATTTTTTTTCTGGTAGGACATAGGTCTTACCAGTTAAGTGTTTTTGTTTTACTCCATTTTTCTTTTGTAGAATTCATTTGTATTTTATTTGAAGTTCTTTTTAAAAGAAATTATTTGACTTTTTGAATTGACCAATATTTACTTGGCAAACTATTTTCAGCTTCAGCAGCCATTTACATTTTTTGGGGGCTGACTTAAGTCATGCCACATAACTGTTTTTGTTTTATCTTTTGTTTAATGCATAGTTTATTTTTGTGTTTTTTGACATTTAAATTTGACCAGTGTTTAGTGTTTTTTTTATTTTTTTTTATTTTTTATTTTGTTTATTGTTTTTAGTCTGTAAGCAAACCTTTATTTCCAATTTTATTTTTGGCGTTAGCCTTGTTTTTGTATTTTTCTTCATCTGGTCTGACGTAAGTCTTACTAGACAACTGTTTTTTTTTTTTTTTTCCTTTATTTTATAGTCTATTTATTATTGGAGCTGCGTGAACTTAAATAGCATTTGTTTTACCTTTTTTTTTTTTTTTTTTTTTTTTTTTTTTTTTTTCATGTCAGTCTTTGAATTTTTTTTTTTCTTGGCTTTTTTGTTTATTTCTTTGATTGGAAATTTAAAATTTGATTTATTGTTTAAGCGGATATTTTCTAGCCTGTAGGTGATATTTTTTTAGGCTTGTCTTTTGTTGCTAATTATTTCTTTTTTTTTTTTTCCTCCCACCTCTCCCCATACTTTTCTTTATATATTTACAAGAAAAATTATTTTAGTTGTCCTTTTAAAACTCTAAATGGCTGACTCAATGCAGTCAGTCAAGTAACATTCTTTTTCTCAAAAAAAAAGAAAAAAGAAAGGGACTTGCCCTGAAAAAGATAGAGTACCCAGTTTTAAAGGATACCCCAGAAAATACAGTCCAATAATGGCCAAAATACAAATACCCCGAATCAGACAAGATGCAGAAGCTGGGGAATTGCCCTGTTGGTGGGAACGGAGTGGCAATATTTGTGGACCCTCCTTGAGATATCATGGAGCATCTGGCTGTGTTCTTTTCAGCGCATGGCTACATATTTGGGTGCCTGAATAGGTGTGGAGTTTTCTCTGATAGCTGGTAGAGCCAGAGAAGGAAGCCCCCAGAACAAAAAGCACAAACAGACCCACTCCCTCCTCTTTAGTAGTGGAGGCATCACCTCTTAAGTGTAATGCCCCCACTACTAAAGAGAATACTTCTTTGGAGGAAATGAAAAAAGTATGTTTTATTTGAGAAAAAAATCTACAGGTGAAATTGGACGTCAACAGGAGATCATTATTTCAAGGCAGCACCCTCCTCGAGCTCTACCCCATCTTCCTCTGTTTCAAAACCAGTTTCACAAGCATTGTCCACACATTCATCCCTGTGTAAAATTATCCTGATCGATAGAGAGCCTAGCCCCTTCAGGAAAAATACATCACACACCCTTTCTCCTTACTCCCCCCTTCCCTCCCAAAAACATCCTGAAATGCCTCCACCTTCAAAACACTAGAGAAGTCCATCAGCAGAGGTGATGGAAAGGAGGAAAAGGCAAAACAAACTGTCAGCCAACCTAGGAGAGTAAGGCTGTCTATGCGTGTGCATCACATTGCCGGACAAGCAGACTCTGACTACAGATGTGGGTATATGTGAGGCTTTCCAAGATTACTTTCAGGAGCTGTTTACCAGTGAGCCCTACTCAGTCTGATGCCTATTTAGCTGACTTTCCCCATTTGGAGGTGGCTGAAACAGCTGGGTGCAAGGTTGCCATTACAGAGTGTGAGATTTGGGATGCAGGTTGGCCTGGACAAGACTCTGGTATTAGATGGTCTTCCTTATGAAATGTAATTGAGGCAGTTGCCCATCTTTGTCCCCTTGCTGGCACTGATTTACAACAACTGGATGAAGCAGGGGCTCTATACCTCAATGCTTCAACAGGAGTGTGATTATGTTGCTTCACAAGAACAAAAGCAGTGGGGATGGAATTATTAATTATTGGCCTTTGACGATGTTAAACACAGTTGAAGATTTTTAAAGATCTTAGCTGGTCATTTGCAGGCTGTCCTCCCTAGTCTGATTGGTCCTGAGCAGACTCCTTTCTGTGAAAGGCAGGACTATTCAGGACAACCTTCATTTGGTACGCTTGATCATTGAGCAAGTCTACAGCAATGCCACACTGATCAATTTAGACCAGTTGAAGGCTTTTGATAAGGTTGAGCATTGGTTTCTGGAGGCTGTCCTATTGTCCGCCAGTTTTGGTCTGTACTGTCGCACCTAGATCCAACTTCTGTATGTAACTCCTGATGTGCTGGTGGAAATGAATGGAGTAAGATTGAAACCTTTCTTATTGTCTTGCGCCATTCTTCAAGGTTGCCTGCTGAACATTCTTTCTTTGGAACCCTTCCTTCACAAGTTGAAGCTGAATCTGGTCCTTTGTGGAATTTCCCTACCTGGTGCTACCACCTTGGCCAAGTACTCCACCTATGCTGATGATGTTTTGGTTCTTGTGTTGAGCAGAGCTGAAATTGATGAATGAGACTCTGACGGGGGCCAAGATCAACCGTGATATCCGTTGGGTTCGTTGAGAGCTGTTTCTCTTCTCAGGCATTTCCTCTGGATGGATGGGATGGTCAAGATACTCGAAATATGGTTCAGTCCCAACCTCATATCTTTTCTTGAAGGTGAGGGTGGAAGTATGTGGCTTGTACATCTACTTGTTTCTCCTTTACTGACTCTCCATACTTCCACTTCTGTCTGCCATTCTATTGGGGTTTGTAAGGCTCTTGTTTTTCTTCTTGTGGGGAGTCAAGGTTCCCAAGGTGTCTCACGAGATCTGTTACCTCTACCCTTCTGAGGACAGTTTGGGTATGCCTTGCATTGAGATTCATCAACATACCTAGACCAGATGTGTTTGCAATTGGATGAGAACGACGAATTCTGGAAGGAAGACCCTCATAAGAACTCGCTTGTGCAAGGAGGAGGCCGGCCGTTTAATCTGAGGTGAACACTCCTTCTACCGTGAATGCTGGCTTGTACTCAAGAACCTCTTGCAGGTGACGGATAGCCTCTCTAATGTCCAGCTGTTGTCCTGCAAGGTATTATATCAGATGTTAGAGGGGCTGTTCATTGATAGGTGATCTCGGTCTAATGAAGCAGGAGACTTGCTCCATATGGCATTCGGGTGCCAGGGTTGAAATGTCTCACTAATACTGAGGCATCACTGACCTGGTTGGTGATTTGAGGGGACCTCTGGTTCAGTAAAAAACTTTGTTTGGCAGGTTTGGTAAAGTCTCCAAACTGTGTTTGCTGCAGTAGAGAGGTGGAGACCCTCTGTGTCCTTTTACTTACTGGGTGTTATGTGAGTTGTGATATGGATGAAGCGACAAAAAGAATTCCTTGTGGACGGGAAGTTTACCTCTTCCCAACTGATTTAAAGTCAAGA